CATGTCAATGGGTAAAACAAATGCATCATAGGAATATCTAAAACTTATTTGGAGACTCAAATACCAAAAAGCCTTTAGGTGCAAACTCCCTAAATGAAGGGATAATGAAAGAGGAAATGACAGAGTTTTTTAATGTTGTAGAGAAAGATCTGCCCTAATTTCTCATTCAAAAACCAGTCTATGTATTCATCGTGGAAAAAGTGAGGGTATCTCAGTGTTTATACTGCCCCAAACCTCAACCACCTTCTTATTCCCTTACTCATATTAAGTTGAATACTTACAAACAGGCTGTTTTTCCTCCAAAGAGAATAAAACGTGAGAAGGCGTATTCTCTTTCAAGGGTATTAGAATTAATTATGTCAACTTAATAATCTAACTTACTTTTTGGACACACCTAGCTGATCTCAAGTCCTGATGATTTGAAGAACATTTATCATCTATCTCATACTTTTTCAAACTTGTAGTTATTAATTCGGCTAATATTTATTAAAGTACCTCCATGGTCAATGAGTAATGACTGGAAACACATCTAGTAAATAATTCATTTTTATTTATGACCCATCTACTTCAGCAAGATCTGTCAAAATCACCCAGACTTGTCATTCTTAGTGGTTCTTATGTGCAGAGTGTCAGCATCACATTTTACTCATGACCCACTACGGGGTGCCTTCTCTTGTTCTCATCCTGGATAGAGATGTGGCCCAGGAAGCCATGCTCATTCTGCAGCTAACCAGGTATAGAGGTCAACCGCTTCTTCCAGGAGCTTCATTCAAATCATCCTGCATTTTCTGTGAACAAATACATTCTATGTTTTTCCCAAGATGCTACTGTGTCTACACGCCAAGAAAGGAAATGGTGTTCTCGAAATAACTAAGGAGTTTACGAGTGGGAGAGTGCTAAGAAAGGGAGAAAAGGGAAATGCATTCATACCACACTGATTGATGATGCAAATGCTATAACCACTCCACAGACAACTTCAATCAATAATTTTAATATTAAACTCAGGGCTTTTCAAAGACAGGAAGAGAGAGAGAATACTACAAGTTTAAGCCCTAGAAATTAAGGTTTATGGAAGAATCCTACATTTCAGGATCATTTATACCTAATAGAGCCAGATATTACAGCTTGCAGGAAATAGGAAGCAATGATTCTACCATATGATGCTTTCATTTTTTTGCACAGCACTAATTAGCAAATATCTAATTATGCAAATTCAAGTTTGCACTTTCAAATATTGTTAGCTAGTATCTAATACCAGAAAATTTCCTTTTTGAAGGTTTGAACATCCATACAAACATCATATTTTTATTAAAATTAGCTTAATATCATTTTCTCCATCAAGCCTGTGCACAGCTAAGACATCAGATATTCCTGACTCTATGCTATGGTATGCTATAAAGAGAATTCACATTTGTATTTGTTGCGGTAATGCATTTATCTGTATGCTTCCTTCATTAATCATTGTCTCTCTTTTTTTAAACTTGAAGTTCCATCAGGGCAGGGCCCCAGTCTTTGCAGGAGAGCCTGCATGTTGAAGTTGTTAAATGCATGGATTCCAGTAACTCATTTCCAGGTCCATATCTCCCCTCTTCCTCTTACTAGCTGTATGATTTGGGGTAACTTAATTGCTACTTCTCTATCTCAATTTCCTCAACTGTGAAATAATAATAACTGTAATGTCTATTTCAAAGAATCCTGAGTATATTTAATACATTTTTTAAAATCACCTAAAAGAATGAATGGTGTAACTGAAACATACTGGTATTCATAACTATTACTTTTGCTTACATTTGGATCCTTAGTAACAAGTAGAATGCCAGGTACATATCAGAATCTCAAAGAATATTTATTGAATGATTGACTGGCTGACTGAATGAACAAATAGGAAGGAGGAATCATAGAGATCCTCTTGATCTGTGACTTTCAAATTACTTTAGATTTGGACACCCTTTCTCCAATAAAAGTATATGCACATTATATAAGCCCAACAAATAAATTATGTAAAATAATAAATATTTTAGTTGAAGATGAAGGGATTATAGAATCCAGAGTCCTGGGCTGGGCGCGGTAGCTCACGCCTGTAATCCCAGCACTTCAAAAGGCCGAGATGGGTAGATCACCAGGTCAGGAGATCGAGACCATCCTGGCTAACAAGGTGAAACCCTGTTTCTACTAAAAATACAAAAAATGGGCATGGTGGCGGGCGCCTGTAGTCCCAGCTACTCGGGAGGCTGAGGCAGGAGAATGGCGTGAACCCGGGAGGCGGAGCTTGTGGTGAGCCGAGATGGCGCCACCAAAAAAAAAAAAAAAAAATTCCAGAGTACTATCCTCTTGATATTCATTTATCTCTCGGCAGCCCTAGTTTAGCCCTATTTCTACTAAAGAGCTAGGGCTAGATCTCTTCAGAAAGTAGAAGAAAATCTCTGTTTTAAGCCAACTGCTTAAGACCCAATAGGTTAGGAAACGAATGCTAAAAGAAGTAACCTGTGCATGTCCAAGTGTGTGTCAGAAGTGGGTGTCAATTAAAGACTCATAAAGTCCACGTGAAATATTTCTATTGCATTGACCTACATTTCAAAATTTACCCAGGAGTGCCTTATCTACTCTGCTTAGAAAGTCCCAGCCACAGGCCTATTGCTAAACCTTTCAGGAAAAATAAAAAAAAGAAAAGAAAAGAAAAAAGTTAAAAGAAAAAAAAAAAGGATAGTCTAAGAACAAAACAATACAACAAACAAAACAAAAGGCTTATTTTTGTTTCTTACGGTTCTCTGTTCTCATGCCAATACATGCTCCCTTGCTGCTCCCCTGCTTGTTCCCTTGCTGTTTCAGCATCTAAATTAATTTATTCAACAAACATTTGAGCATCTTCTATGAGGCAGCTAGCTCTAAGCACTTGAGATTAATTTGTGAGGTGATGGATATGTTAATTAACTTGATATAATCATTCCACTACTTGTGTGTTCATATATAGAGATACATCACATTGTACCTATTACATATCACAATAATAATTCATAAATTAAAAATAAAAATTTAAATTAAAAAAAAGACAAAAATCCCCGTCACCATGGAACTCTATATCTTTTAAAGAAAGCATATGCAAAATAAAAGATTTTGGGGGCATTGGTAAAGAAAGATTAAATAAAATTTCAAGATGCTATTTAAGAAAAGTTCTTAGATCCTGATACACAGAAGCAAGTACCATTTTTAATGTTCATATCTGCTTTTTCAATTCGTTTATGTAAGATAATATACATTGTATCCTTGTAACAATCTTTATTGAACAAAAATAGGCCATCTTTCAGCATCTTTTATTCTTCATCATTCGACTGTTAATATTACATAACACAATCCAAATGAACACATAGTTTGGGGAAGTTTAGGACTATACACACGACTAAGAAAATGTCTCCTAAGTAAACAGTATGTGTTTTCTTCACTCTCTAGGTCTGGCCAGTTCAACCTACTCTATGGTACGCTATGGTGTCAATAATTATTTCAGCCTCTGCTGCAATTAGTGCTAATTACAATACCTGAGCTATAAAAATAAAAGATTTCATTATAGCAAAGTTCACAAATATTGTTTTAGTTCGGTTATCCACATTGCTCATCTAAAATAGTACATTTTCTTTACATATAACTGTCTTAGACTTGTAATTGAGGATATTTTATGAAACAGATCTGTATCTGAAACAGCACTATGATGCGAAACATCTGCATAAGGAATGAAAAAAAGTTAGCAACCTAGTTTTTTCAATATTCAGATACTTGAGATTACACAGAAAACCACATCCAGATGAATGACTGAATTATTCACTTTTCTTCTGAGAATTTTGGCATTGGATAGACACAGCACTCATTTAAGTTTAATGCATTTTAGGAACAGATTCAGTTTACATATTTAACGCACATAAAAGAAAACACAAAGCCAAAAGAAACTTCTAATTTGGAAACAAATGCATCAAATACATAGCATTGATTACTATTTTAAAATAACTATAGAGAAATACAATTGTTGGTTCTGGTTGTATCTCTATTAAAACAAGTTATTCCATTGGAAAATATCTTTTTTCTTAGTAAGAATCAATTACATATTTTTCAAAATGTAAGTAATCTTTCACTGCTTATCATTACAGGTACATAATAGAATTATACTCTCTATAATCAACATTTAGGTTGATATTTTATTCCATATGAGGATGGTTGGGATTTAAGTGTTAATTCCTTTAAAACAACATCTGTTTATTTAGTTGTTAATTAAAAGATGTAAGAAATGGCCCCTTTCTCATACACAAATTCAAAAATGTAAGAGAAACATTTTTAACTTATCTGATTATATTTTAAAGCAATTAGAAACTGAGATAAATAAAATGTATTCATTAAGGTACAGTCATAGAATATAATAAAAAAGAATCTCAAACATAGCTATTAAAAAGAACTCCTAAAAATATTTTTAAAGGTCTCCTGCTACAAGTTACTTTTTGTTTTTTAAAACAAATGATGCAATGAATATAACATAGTAAACTTTGCTGGATGTATAATGCCATATATATTTAAAGGAAAAAAATACATTGGCCGAGTGTGGTGGCTCACACCTATAATCCCAGCACTTTGGGTGGAGGTTGAGGCAGGTGGATCGCCTGAGGTCAGGAGTTCAAGACCAGCCTGGCCAACATGGTGAAACCCCGTCTCTACTAAAAACATAAAAAATAGCTGGGCACGGTGGCAGGTACCTGTAATCCCAGCTACTCGGGAGGCTGAGGCAGGAGAATCACTTGAACCTGGGAGGCAGAGGTTGCAGTGAGCCAAGATCGCACCATTGCGGTCCAGCCTGGATAACAAGAGTGAGACTTCATTTCAAAAAAAAAAAAAAATCATATGGATCCAAAGCCCACTTGATCAAGCCAGGAATTAATAAAAGAAATTTAGAACATAGAGAAAATAAACAACTTTAAAATGAAGCTTGATAAAAACGTGATTAATATCAACCTGAGTTCTTACCGTTCAACATGTTCTCTCTCATGACAATTTCAGAAAATAACAGCCTGATTCTCCTTTTTTTTCATTCCAAAGATGCTTCAAAACATGCTGTGCTAGATGACATGGTGAATAACTTTCCATAGGACCCACAGGGCCTACAAGGGAAGCTGGGCCCCAGGGTGGAGGTGGGAGACTGAATATAAATTAAAAATAAATGATCTGCTTCCCTGTCATGAAACTATGGAGATGGCTAGGGCCACTGAGCACAGTGGGAAAATTACAAGGAACAGGACTTGGGAGACTAGCAGTATTCTAGTTTCTATAATTAAATTATTTTTAGAAATATGAAGGAGTCAGCAGAAACTTCAGACCTTGATCTTTTATTTTATCCTGGTCACTTCATCTGAAAGCTCTATAGATCATCTATAAAGCTAATTATCTTTTTTTCTTGGGTAGCTGGTTTTATGAAAAATGTAAATACCCCTTGATTTACAATAGGGTTACATACAGACAAACAAATCCAAAGTTGAAAACCTTGTAAGTCTAAAATGCATTTAAGATACCTAACCTATGGAAAATCATAGCCCACCCTAACTTAAACCTGCTTAAATGTGCTCAGAACATATACCTCATCCTACAGTTGGGCAAATTGTCTAACACAAACCCTATTTTATAATAAAATGTTGAATATCTCGTGGACCACGTATCACTAGCCCTCCAAAAAAAAAAAAAAATTCAAAATTCAAAGTATGTAGAAATTATGAAGTTTTCACGGAATCATCAAAAAATCATTAAGTTGAACCACTGTGGTTGGCATCTGTCTGTGCTAATAAATGACACTGAACCATTCTGAAAATAGAATTGCTACATAAATACATGATAATGTTACTTTTACAGCTAATGATATTTTCCAATTCTCCAAATCTTTAAATTTATTTCAATATGCCATTTTGATCAGAGGTATGCCATTAAATCTCAGAATCTAAGTTCATTGATTGATTACACGTTTCCTTTAATATATTTTTATTAATTATCTTCTAGGATACACTGATCCAAATGTATATATCGTGGTTTGACAGATCCATCCTGTAAAACCAATGGTTTAATATGCTTTCTACAGTTGCAAAAAGGTTCTAAGCAAAAGAAATGACTTTTCAGTTCAGACAACTTAACTGTAGTCATTAATTGAGTCTGCAACTTTGAAAGTCCTATGAAACCTATTAACCAGATAATTATTCAAGGGTCAATTCCACTTGCTTGTGAGCTATGTTCCAATTATTCATGAGTGCATTTATTTGATTAGTGATATTCCTATAGAAAATCAGAACTCTTAAGGATTAACACTGCCATTGATTTATTTCAATAACACATTTGTTTTCAAAAAATATGCATCTGGGTTTATTGAATCAACATGGCTGTTGTACTTTCATCAAACCCCTGCTTTGTAACAGATATTACCTGCTTTCATATTTGTATTTTAGAACTCACTCTTCATTCCCTACTCCACTACCCAACTTCATACCAAAAATCCTGCCAAGTATTTCAGACAACTTGGTTATTAACTTGGAATAATTGCAGTAGACATACATAAGAGATGTGTCTATAGAATGCCAAAATATTTAATCGTGTCAGAAATTTAGTCATTCATCCAAATATTTTGTCTATATGATGCCAAACATACTTAATGAATTATGTTAGCAGACCAAATTCTTGACAGAATTGTCTTAGCATTGTTTAGACAAAATGATTATTAGTAGTTCAAAATAATACCAATAGCAATAAACACCATCAAAGAAACAACGTATTTAGATTGGCACAAATTCCAACCTTGAGGAAAGTGACTTCAGTTGGCTTATGTGGACTAAACCCTTATAGATATTTTTGTAATTTGGATTCTAAGAATGCTGAGAACCCACAATATTTTATTATCCTCCAGTTGATTCTGACAACTACATCATAGAAGTACTAGATATCCAAATGAACCAGGAGAATTACATGTTAGATAGCATTTGAGTTAAACCAGACCAATTTATATGGGGCAATTTACTGATGACAACAAAATTTTTATGACTGTGGATATTCATTTCAATTAGGTTATTGCTTAAGGATCATAATTGGTCTGGAATCTTTGAAAATTTGTAGACTACTTTATAAAGTTACATAAAATTGTGAAAAAGTTGCATGCTTTAGAAACTTAGTATTTCCATCAAGCTTGTGGTCTAAAAAGAGTATGAAGACAATAGCAAATGGATGTTTTTAACACAGTTTCTTAGTATTTACAGTATTTTTTCTTCTCTAGCTGCCATCCCTTCAAAGCTGGTCAATGGTTTTTCTGGGGCTTTTTTCATCTCACATTCAGAACAAGGAGGCATTTGCAATTTCTGTTAAACAATACAGAAAAGACAATTAAAAGAATAAAAATAAATACATGTTAAGGTAAAAATTGAAAAGTCTAACAGAATAAGAATGAAAATTCATAGATCTCAACAAATATCTTAGAGAAAATGAACACTGGACAGAAATGAAACAAATGTAAAGATGTTAATTATATTTCATAAAACTACAAAACAATATTTTGTCTAAAAAGAGTAAAATGTTTCAAAAACTATTTTGAGAAAACTTTGCCCAAACCATTCAATTCTGTTTTAATCTAATTCAAAGTTTGAGAATAAGTTAAATCTAACTGAATGTTTTAGTATTAAGTGAAATAAAAATTAAGAATGTCAATGATACAACATTTTTGGTCAAGTATAATAAATTACAAATAAAAATTCAGAATTAAGCTCTTGACTTGTGTTTATTTTGTTTGCTTTTGTAAGTAATATGTACTTCTTTTCACCTCGTCTGCTTCCTCAAATCCTCTTTAATCTACTTTGTCCAAAAAGAAATATATGCCTGTTTGATCATCCCTGTTTATTTTTGTTTTATTTCCTGGTCTGTGAGAGGGAGGGTGCAAGTGAGGGAGAACTTCCTTCTCCCTTGACCTTCTGAGGGCCTCACATAGTCAAGCCAAAAGCTTAGTAGAAAGCAGAGCAGCCTTGGAAAAGCCCATGGGCACCAGGTGAAGACACTATATAGTATATAGTATTAGCTCTATAGTATTAGCAAGTACAACATCCTGCCCCAGCTAGAGCAAGAGAGAAGAGTGTTCAATACAATGGATCCAAGAAGTGCTTTTTGACATAATCAAAATAAAACAAACACATACCTGTGGGATAGGCTCAGTTTCTGCAGTGGCATTACTTGGAGGACTTTCTTTGCGCGTCATTGAACAGGTTCTGCCTTCCTACAAAAACAGCAATTGAAAATATATCAGTGAAGTTAAATAAAGAAGGTGGTGGGGGGGTGGTAAAAACAGTCTCTTGAATTCTTCCTGTTGAGAAGATTCTATCACTTTGATCCATACTGAAAAGGCAAAAGCTACGGACAAAATCCATCACCACAGCAGTGGGATTTCAAGGAGAGATCAAACATTCCTGGCTGGTGTGGGGATCACAATGGTGCTTATGGTAGTCAGCTACAACAAAGAAGTACAATTCCAATGGAAAATTATTTCCCTGGAAAACATTTAAAAAGAAGTAAAAGATTATAAAACTACTATATCTGCATCCAGACTCTGTGATTCATACATGTCAATTATTTGAGTGCCTGCAGGAACATCAATATTGCAAGCTAGGAAGCAACGTAACTAATATGACCACCAATCTGTCTTGCATAAAATCCTCATCATCTTTTTTGAAAGACAATATTTCTGGAACTAAGATCCCAGGAATTTTACTGGCCAGAATATCTGATCTTACTTATTAGCTTCACCAGTTTAAAGGAAGATGAAGTGTTAGCAATGAAACAAAAAAAGATCCACTTGGGCTTCACTTCCATTTTAACCAGGGTTAAAATATTCAATCCTCCCTCCCTCCTCTCTTCCTTCCTCCCTTTCTTTTTTTCACTTACTGATAATTTTCCTCCTTCCTCTCTTCCTGTCTTTCTTCTTATTATATACACACTTTTAAATTAACAGTAACATACATAGTGTAAGAATCTGCATTTGTGTGTGTGTGTGTGTGTGTGTGTGTGTGTGTTAGATTTCTCATAATCTTTTCCATGTGCAAGACAGAGCCTAACAGTTTAATAATTTGTGAACACTAGGCCAGGTGAAATGGCTCACACTTGTAATTGCAGCACTTTGCAAGGCTGAGGTGGGTGGATTGCTTAAGCCCAGGAGTTTGAGACCAGCCTGGGCAACATGGTGAAACATCCTCTTTCCAAAAACAAAAACAAAAGCAGCTGGGTGTGGTGGCACATGCCTGTGGTCCCAGCTACCTGGGAGGCTGAAGGGGGAAGATCACCTCTGCCTGGGAGGTTGAGGCTGCAATGAGCTGTGATCATGCCACTGCACTCCAACCTGGGCTACAGAGTGAGATCCTGTATCAAAAAAGAATATATATATATAAAATTATATATAAAATTCAAGACCACTGGCCCACTGATATAAAAAAAATAAGTTTCTTTCCAAGCAGTGAACCAGGGGATAGAGAGCTAAATTGACTTTAAACTCTAAAAATTCTGAGTAGAAGATAAAAAGTCCTACAGGAGATTAAACCTACTCTAATTCAGATTTTAAAGGTTATTTTACATGCTCCCTCTATTCTCATATTATATTGCTCTTAATTGAACACAAACCATATATCTGTACATTTCTCTGCCCATGTGTGTGCTACCCCACTTCCTTCACTGCAGGCCCCTGAAAACCAGCTACTCATTTCTGCCATATTTCATCTTTTCTACTACTAGACAGACTCAGTCACCCTTCTGGGCTCTAAAGGTAATGCTTATAACAACTTTAGCACTTACCGTTATTTTTATATATGTAATCATGCCTGCCTCCCCAATGTATTGTGAATAACTTTAAGACAGAGGCAACATTTATCTCCACTAGATCACAGCTAGATGCCTACCAAAAACTGGTCGATATGTAATCTCTAAATAAATAATAAATAATTTTAAAATATTGGCCATGAAATAGTTCAATACTTTAGAATTTTCTTTTTTTTATTATACTTTAAGTTCTAGGGTACATGTGCACAACATGCCGGTTTGTTACATATGTATACATGTGCCATGTTGGTGTGCTGCAGCAATTTTCATAAATGCCTGCTTTCTTTGGCCACATTTAGGCATATTTTATACACAATTGATTCTTCTAAATAAGCCTACAGTATACAGAAAAAGTGAGATTGTCACTGTAAGACTAAAAATAGCTGAATTCCTAACTACCTTATTCTAAATACTTTTTAACTACCTAATTCTAAATACTTTTTAAGTATTCTAAATACTATGTATTCCTTTATATACATAGAGGAGTCTTCTACACTGCCTAAGGAAAAATATTTTTATTTTTTCCTGTGGTATAATTTATAATTGGAACCTTACATTTCTCTGAAAATATTATAATTACTCTGGTTTGCCGTAATAAACCAACTGGCTGTTGTTTTTATTATTCTTGCATTTACCCTTTGAAAAATTAACTAATTGTAAAAAATCAAGCTCAAAAAATGTGGTTCATAGAGAAAGTCATTTGTATAGTGTAGGATTTCCCAAAATGCATTTGGTAAGAGTGGAGTTCATATCATTTAAGTTTAGGGAAAAATTGGTTTCAACATTAAACAGTTGTATTTATTGTGGTTCTTCTCAGAAACCTCAACATACAATATCTTAAAGTCTTGATCTTGAAAGATCTGATCACATAACCACAGGAGGTGACTGCTAAAAAACCACTCCAGGGTGATAATTCTGTCCTACAAATATGGGGTTTGCATTTTTAATTGGTATGCTAGCAATTCAAATGTATCTATGAAATTTGATATTCACTTCATAATGCACAATATGTTATAAATCTCTAAGAAGGAGATATAATGTACATATTTCTTGAATATCTTTGACCTAAAACTCTTTATGCATAAAGCTTCACTTGAGGTCATTGTCATGAGGAAGACACTATGGGATTTGCTATGGATTATATTTCATTAATGTTAGCACAACCAACTATTTGAGATAAGCCTTTGATCATCTGAACAATGAAAACTTACTACATTTAAACATTAAAGAAAATATTTTGTGGCTAGAAGACAGCTGTAGCTTTTTCTGATACTTTTATCTTATAATGAATAGTATCTTTAAATTTACTCTTTCTGTGCTTCACAGGCATTGTGGAAATTTCATAAGATGGTTCATAAAACTGTTAGTGAGTCTCAGAGAGACACCAGAGATAAGGCCACATTACTATACTGAATAGGTTTTGTGCTTTAATAAAGCCTTTTACTACATTTAAAGCCTTTGCTGAAATAGAGCTCAATTTGGTGAGACACAAAAGGTGGGTTCCTCATAGAGTTCCCTCACTCTGTTGCAAACAGGACCTGGAATATCAAAAATTCCAGAGAACTGTTGTGAAGGAAGGCAGGACAAATTTGGCCCATTACCAACACTGTAGTATAAAAATAGTTTTGACTATTGGTTAAAAGTGCTTTGGAGTGAAATAGACTTTGGTTTATGTTTTAGCTCTGATATTTATCCATTGATGACCAAGTTATTTTTCTCTGGGCTTCAGGTTCTTTGGCTGTAAAATGGATCTATTTCTTTATGGAGTTGATTTAAGGGTAAAATTAGAAAACATACACAAGTATTCAGCATAGGTTAACAAATAGTAATCACTCCTTTTTTTCTTTCTCCTCATCTGATTATTGTTATCACTATCATTAATGATTACAAAACAATACTTATGATCAGTTGACACTGACACTATTTTATGTCACAGAATCAACAGTGATGCAATTACCAAATATAGAAAAATAAGAGGAAAGGTAGAGAGAAGAGAAGGAAAGGAAATAAAGAAAGTGCTGAGTAGAGGTACTGCAAAACATTTCTTACTAATGCTTCTCTTTAACAATAAAGGTAAAATATAACAAAAAAAAATTAGGTGGGAAATTAAAGAAAGAAGAAAAAACAAAATCAAAAAGAGAAATAAGCTTTCCTGTATTAGGCTAACTTGTTTGAGACACAGCAACGGGCACAGCCTAGACCCAGGGAACGTCTTGATAATACTATCTAAGAAGCCAGGACACAAAGGAATGTGCTCTGGAGACTCTCCCAGCACTCTCTCAACATAGCGAGAAGAAAAACAAATTTTCCTTTGTTTTATAATATGAGTTTATAGATTCTTGTTCTCTGTAACTAGTAACTTCAAGTATTTTGTTTTATGTAAAAAGTACAGAGAATGTCACAAGAAGCCTGAGCAGGCCTGAACTACAGCTGTCTATGCACCATAGTGAAGGTTATAAGATAAACCAGTGCAAGGCTCTTTAAAGCAATACCTAGATAACAGACATCTGGTTTGCTTGGCAAGGGTCATGTGTAATCCTAAGTTATACTTGTCACAATTTAATTAATTGTTCTGCGTCTGTATCCTTGTTTTTGCTCAACTGTAACTGTAAACTTACTTCAAGTTAGCCCACCCCCTTTTTAAAGTGTGTATAAAAGTCAAGTGCTGTCTTTGTTCTGGGTCTAGTGTTTGTATGTTAAATCTGCTGGGTCTGAGTGCACTCAATAAAGATCCTGCTGTATCCCAAGGTCTCTCTGATCCTCCTGATTCTGCAACAAATTGTTGATACTAATGTTTTGCTTTGGAAAGAAAAAACGTTTGAGAAAATATAGGTTTCAAGATGAACCAAATTGTGTTTATATATTTAAAGATTTATCCAATAAAACATGGGTTTAGAGTTATAATGTGAATCATTGAATATAGAATTAAACGAATGGACTTACTTCTAGGGAAGTTCCCTTGGAAACAACAGAATTTAATTCTTAAAAGAAAACCTCTTCATTTAAAAAAACTACACTACATTACACAGTAAGAGGTGGGGTCACTGAGAGAAAACAGGCATTTACTGCAACTACAGCTAAGATCTAAAGAGAGTAGCCAATGTTACCTAAAGAGTAAAGATAATTTTTTAGACAACTATTGCAATAACTTTTGCTTATGCAAATATAATTTTGTTTTTCCCTTTATGGCCACACAAATGAAACCTAGACAATCTAATAAATTACCTTTGTTATCCTTAAATTGCCGCAACACTGACAGTCAAATTGAGCTTCTAAAATGGTTCTATACTTTAATCATTCATTCCACAAACATTTACTGAGTTTCTATTATGAGTCAGGCACTGACAGAAAATGGAACAATAAAAACAGTCAAGGGCTTTGATGTCAGTGGAGGTTATATTCTAGTGGAGA